GGGATGGAAGGCTTGGTTGGCCCGGGCGACTCACGACCCAGGATTTGATCCCCGGACCGCTCGCGTGGTGAGCGTGCCACTTGTCACTACACCACTTCCGCCCTACGTGCAAACATTTAAATAGGAGAGCACCAAATGTCTGATTACCGTGTCTCCGTCGACGTGCTCAGCATACGTATCACATCCTCCACCCACATCGCTTCCGCCTTTTTTCTCTGTCATCCACTGTCCCGAAGTCCACGCTTTCTTACCTTCGGTAGAGCGAAGACGGCTGATTGACTCTGTTGCCAAACTGTGTCTCCCTTCGAGTCCTAGTGCCTGAAAGGACTATGAATCTAATTGACCTCATTCGCCAGAAAATAAAGATTCGTCAGAGAACCACCAGTTTTTAGTTGTTCGAGGAAAGAAAGCTCAAGTAAAATGGAGGAATACGTTTCAACAGCAAAGATACCTTCAGAGTCTTGACAGCTCCATCTGTCATTGCCATTGGACATGTGGTGAGACCGGCAGAGGGTGAAAACAAGTAGATTTTCGCGAACTAAACTTATTTTTTCTGCTTAATTTCGGAAATTTTGAGAGCGTAGAAATTCAGAAACAAGTGCAAAAAAACCTGATGAATACGTCTCGTAAGAGGATGAACATCGTTCTCATAACCAATCGCTAGAATAACCTTATATTAGATTTGCATCCAATCACATGCTTCCATATCATAGAAGAGACTGAGATGTAGGTATGTATTGAAAGAATTGCGATATAAAAAATTTGAAAAAAAAATCATCGAATCCAGAAATCTTACAAATTAGTCCTTCCTCCGCACAAATTTCTTTGAGACGATTCCATTCCGGGCATACAACCAATTCATCCACCTTAACTACTTGAATTCATTTCAATACACCGTAAGAAACTACATATTATTTGAGGAGGACATAAATATGGTGACAAAATCATTGTAGCCCAGTTCCAATCAAAAATGTTACCAGCTATGGCAACGTATGACCTTGTCTTAGCGAACGACTGCAAACACTTCTTTCTCGTAATGGCCGCACATGGAGTTGGCAATTCCCTTCATACGTACCTTCCATGAATCGCCCTTACATTTCAGGATTTCATCTCATACCTTTAAAAAGGTTGTTTCGGACGATTTCTCAGCTTCAATATCGATCACACTGAATAATCCGCTAAGTTCAAATTGAAGTTTTCTGGCCGGCCAACCTTTGTACCGTCGCCTAAAGTCGGGCAATTGGGCTCCGCATCACATCTAACAATAAGAAGAATTCAATCCATGAGCTGGAACACCGCCTACTTGCGAATACAGTTGTTCTGAATAGTAAGATCGATGATACCTTCCCTTGTAATTCTATTTTGGATAGCATTTGGCTCAAGCTTTTACTCCCACATATACAAAAATCAACGGAAAGGAATAATCCGCTCTTAATCTAGGTCCCTCACCGCTGAGTTAGAAAGTTTAGCTCGATACCTTATTCCTACTCTCAGCTTCTCCGAAATTCCTTGTAAATGGTACCAAGTTTTCTCGAACGAAGACCTGACTATCCGTAATAGACATGAAAGAATTCTTCGTAGGTCCCTTATTTGTGCTCTGTTCACGGCCCGCGCCAGAAGCCCCTAGCATTCTAGTTCTCATCTGCCCATCCGTGAGAACTCTTTGCTCATGGTATTTGTAAGCTTGTACTCTGAGTTTGCCGGCACAAGCCTTTGCGTCCTTTGTTTTGATACTGCCGAATCTGTAGCCAATTGCATCATGGTCCTCACTGAATTACGTTGGATGCGCTTTTTGGCATCTTTTGGCTCCTTCAACCGGTGCACCCTATGAGGAAGAGTTATGTATTTACATCTATTGAGTCGGATGACAGCCGTGTGATGCATCCTTCTGACATAGCATGATTGCTTGGGTAGGTTGCTCTGCAACGCGCTCGACGAAAAGTTCCACACACCAAAACCCACAGTTCTGAACTAAAAGAAGCCATTCGCCGTATTAAGATGTTGAACCCATGAAACCGTTTATACGTAAAGGACAATGACGAATCTGATGATCTAGTCAAGACACCTGCTTATTACAGAGTAACTGCGTTTCTTGAAGTTCAAACTTTTCACCATATTCATGCCCACCCAGTAGATCACACCAATATTGTAAACATGGCTTACCCTTCTACCCCAAGCGTCAAACTGCTCCAGCTTCGGCTGGTTCAGCTCACATATCCTTCCAAGACGGTCGATTTCTTCTACTATACGCTCACCAAATCGGCTCAAGTCTTTTTCAACCTTTAAGGAATGGCTTAAGATTTGCACCATGAGTAGAACTCGTTCATATCTCACACGCTTGTAGTCCTGTTCAGGTAGGATTCGACGTAGTGTTCGTTTTAGCATAGGATCGTCGTTGAAAGGATTGTGCAACACTGGCGGCGTCTAAAAAATATTCTGTTGAACTCCTGATCTGCCGCACTTGAGATTTCGACAAACCTGAGAAAATCCACCCAGTTTCGCATGGCGGTATGATGTCGTTCTTGAGCACATCCTTGAAGAAGCGATTTCAGTCGAGGACAAAACATACATTAGATTTCCATGTACGACAGTAACAAATCATTCCCAGGTTACCTCAGAAAGGTTGCTTCTCTAACCGTGTTTGGTAGTCACATTTACAACTGCTGAATTGACATTTTCTGCCAGCCTTTTTATCATCATTAACACGTTGACGACCGCCGTTATGCGCACTGCTTCAACATTTTTCGTATTCTCTCATCAATAGGCATTAATCCTTCAGCGTTTTCATTATCAGTAATGAAAAAATGTTTTTCGGATCCAATAATGTACATGGACCGTTGTGGAACAGAAAAACGCCAAATAAATCAAGGAAAACTAGTCTGCTCCATGTGAAAGTGTGGTATGACATCATCAACACATTGACATTCTACTTTCCTCTCGCCTGCCTGTTCGTCATACAATTCGGCATCTCTTAGAGGTGAGGAGGCCGGTCCAAGTTTCAATTGTTCGGGATGAGCCGAGAAGTACAAAACATGAACAAAGCGATGCCTTGCCTATGACGGATAAAACTTGCACCAAAATGGACGTTCTTGACGACAGAAATCCTACTCTTCTCAGAACGGCTTAGGTGTCGGGAAGAGGAATTATATGTATGCAACGGATTGCCAGGTCAAATTAGAGAAGACCACCGTCAGATGGGGAAGCATTTTCCAAGTGCGGAATAAATTTTGAAAAATCACAACGGTTTGCAATTATTTATTAGCCCACCCATAAGGGAGGAGCATGCACTAAAATTAGCATGGTTAAGGAGAGGAATTCAAGCGTCAAGCGGCTCCTGCACCAGGGCAGGCAGAACTAATCCCGAAAAATTCAGAGGCCAACTTCCGCCACTTGTCGCCAGAGAGCTGTGTTGTGCGCCTAACGGCATTTGGAGCCAAACCGGTTTTTCATTCTGTTCCTTCCAGCTGAGGGCAGATAGCTACTTCATGACAAGTGCACTATGAACACACCAACACTCACCAGGAAGTTTCTATTTGAAGCGTTGCACATGCACGCTGTTATCAATCTCGTTCTCTTCAATGCACAATGTCTTCAAAAGAAGATAACAAAAGCTTACTAAACCTCTAAAGCATTGGGTGGTGGGAAGGTAGGGATGGGTTTCCGACCTAGAACTCTAAATGACGGGACAAATAGCGAGATTGAAGAACTGGTCCTGCACGTGAAATCTCCACAACCTTGTATGCTTTACACTCATTTATCAGCTGCTTTGGTGAATTCCTACGGTCGAGATTCTTTTTTAAGGTTGTCCCTCTTGGGCAAACCAGCCTCTGGGAAAATGATATTAAGAGGAAGGGCTCAACAAAGAACAGATAAAAGACGTCATGCGACTGAATACAAATTCAAATTGTTGCAACAATCAGTTGTCGATCTTCAATACCGGTCCACTCAAAAAAAACTCCTGCCTTTTGTTAAATGGTTAAAAACGGCCCTGCCGCTCAGCAATGGATAAAGACGCACGTTGGACGAGTTGTCTGAACGTGCCCGCTGTAAACGCGCTCCATTTTTCAATCAATTTTCCCTGTGGTCCCAAAACGAGCACGATTGCCGACGCGTCCAATGACGGCCGGCAAGGGGGCGGGATTGGGGAAATCCCCAAGAACACCCATGTTTGAGGGACTTTCCACCCTGTTTTTGAGTTTCTGAGGTAAGTTCGTTTATTATTTCCACTGCATATGTTCTTCACTAGGGCTCGTGTATCCCTCAGTAGTAGTGGCATTGAAATTTTCGGACCCTCCCTGAACTGTTGCTTTAAAGGAAAATCACAAAGACAGATATAAAGACGGCATGCGACTGAATTACAAATTGAAATTGTTGCAACAACCAGTTTTGTCGATCTCAATACCGGTCCACTCAGAAAAAAAAAAAAAAAACTCCTGCCTTTTGTGAAATGGTTAAAAACGGCCCAGTCCTTCACACAATCAAAGAAGAAAAACAAGAAAAAATAAGAAAAATAGCACAAAAAATATCTAAAAAATCACCTGACTGCTCCTATTTGAGAAAATGAAGGCCTGAACGGCATGTTGTCGCCGATACCAGTCAACTGATAAAATGACCAAAGTCCACGCCCGTACGCTAATCGATGCTTTGATTCATTTCTGAATATTGAACCCATACCAATGGATATTTTGAAGTACTTTCTGCATTCCAAGATATGTGAGAACTCATGAAACTTATCACTCAATAGACTAGCATTTGTTTACCCGGCAATCAATGAGGTCATATTGCGAACAGTGCATTTCATTGTCGAAAATTGTGTCACCAGCAATCGATAGCCGCCGCAAAACGGACTGGCAGCTGCTTGTCATCACAACAAAAGGCGTTGAAATCACTTTATGGATATGATTCAAATGTACAAAAGTCATGTACGGTCATGGGAGCCAGCATCTGCTCAAACACGTCATTTTCACAAGGAAATATATAATGACATGAAGCAACGTTCATTACAAACTGTCCAGCAGTAACACTACAGGCGAGTCAAGGTTATATAACATAACAAATCCATAAGCAAACCCGAAAAAATTCGATCAATTTGCAACAAAGAGTGGTAAGCGAGAAATGAAATCGTACTGTCAAAAGTCTCGCAATTATTAGCAAAGCCTGCAGACGGAACTGCGTGCCTTTTGTAGTAGATTCACCTTAGCAGTCTCCCGTTTTCTCATTATCGACGTTCCAGAACCTAAAATAATAAAGTAATCCGTCATTGTTCACAGTCAAAAAGAGATGTTATTACAAAAGTTCAATAGAATACGATAACATCTCTTCTTTGAAATATAGCTGCTGTCCAAGTGGCCAAACTGCCAATCGTAGGCAGCATGTTTTGTGAGACCACCAGCCACTAAAGAACCGGTCTTGTCAAAGCGACAACTCGTTGAAAAAAAGAAATACGCTGCGTATTCTATATTTAGTCAGGATAATCATCGCTTCGGATGTTTCCCAGGTCCATACAACGAATCACGGAAAACATCCTAGCCCCCGTTTTTTTCTTCTGAGCAGTTTGGTCTATTTTGACCAACACTGAAGAATTTGTGCGATCACGACGGCCCTTACTCTAATTTTACCAGCGAGCCACGTGAGGCAGCGACTCGCCCCTTTGTCCAGCAGCCCATCTTGTACCGACTAAATCAAGTCTGTTGCAATGCACAAGTATGTAGCATCCAGCAGTAAACGCATATCACTGTGAAAGAAACAAGGCAGCTCATCGACAGCTCGTTTGTCAATGGAAGCTTTTAATGCCACTGCTCAAGGAACCTGAAGGCGAAATGATGTGAAAAGAACAATTTACTCGCTGGTTTAAGGAAACTCCACGCTGTACTGCATGAATGAAACGTACACAGAAAAAAATGATGCAGCAATCCCTCATTCCTGAGGTGCCCGCCGTTAATCATACTAGCAACTAGTCACGCTCTATCCTACCACAGGTGTGGGCGTTCCCTTTTTGTGGATCAACAAAACAGGTGCTCTATCTATCCCCTACGCAATTTCTAAGAATGATAAGCTTCAAAGAAGATTCACAAAACAGCGTACCTGAAAGAAGGCGTTTTAAGACTATCTCGTAATCTTCGTGCAACTTGTTGGAAAAGAACGTCCACATTGGTATTATCAAGAGCTGAAGTTTCCACAAAGTAATGAAAGTGATTTGCTGCAGCAAAATCTCGAGCAATCATCACTGGTACTTTCAACGATTCATGTATTCTGTCGGCTTTGTTTCCTAAATAATCATTTTCGAGATTAAAGGATTCCCACTGGAGATCTTAGAGGAAATAATGACAATGCACAAAACAGTATGAGGGAAAATGAAAATTCGCTAGCTGGTGCTGCAAAGGTTCACAACAGAAAAAGTAAACCTTTGATACAAGATAGCGCAATTTAGAGGTACAAGACGCGACAAAACTTAGAGACTTTGTGATTGAGGTAACTGGGTCCCCACGCAATAGAATTGCGGCCCTCTCGTGACTACAAGGACGGCTTGTACAGAAGCGTCGGCTGCTCACCTTGCTTTCCATCAACCGTTGCAGTCACTGTCATTCTTAAAATTCGTCACTCGCAGCCAGGGTCAACCCTATCGTTGTTACTCTTTGGAAATTTTTTACGACCCCCCCCCCTTCATGGGTGATTTGATACGACCCCCCTTGTATGTGACACTTGTGTAGAGACAGTGTTTACCATCAATATTTATTTCTACGTAAGTCATCAAAGATGAAACTTTAGCAAAATCCACGACAGATATTCATCGCTGCTTCCAAACACAAAAAATGAGATGCATTCAAAGATATCCGTGTACTCCAAAGGGTTACCAAACTAGGAGATGAAATAAACTGAACCAGTGACCGGAATATTGACAATATTACCTGATAAAAACTTATGAGAAGTCAGAAAAAATTATCGCTCCAATTGAAATACTGAAATCCTTCACGTTCTTCAGCAACACAATTTTTACACCCCTTTCTAAGGCTATAACTTCCTTCATATTCGAGCTTCTGCGCCGAAGTGATTTGATTTGGAAAATTCAAATTATTCTCTCTCCAACCATGGGTAAAAATTCTTCGAAAGTTAATTTAATAAAAATTTAGTACGTTGTTACTTTTTTCTGTGCAAAGCGACTTTTTGACCTTCAAATGATCATAACTTTGTTCAAAGTCATTCATTGGGACTGACACTGGTATGACAAACTACAGGTTTCAAGCTTTCTTCGCGAGCAAGCACCCAAGCGTTCCTGAAAGATCAGCAGTTCAAAAAATTAGTCCCGTTGTTACTTTTTTTGAGGGGTATTCTTCAAGCCATTTTCCCGAAAAACGCGGGTTTTCTTAGGTTTCACTGCCCGTAACTTCTTGGAAGACCAATTCATGTTTAACTTAGGATGTGCTAGAAAGCTTCGAGCATGCGCTTGCACTACATCCCTTGCCTTGGTGCGCGCCACGCCTCGGGCGCCCTTCTAATTCGCTGATTCATTTGAAAGCTCATTTAGAGGGAAGCGTGGTTTATAGATGCTCTAGTAGTCAGTCTCTACGAAAACGTAACGTGCTGGCTATTATCCGATATTACCAAGAATCCCACTGTCGGCCACCGAGAGGGTACGACCCCCCTCCAAGCTCAACTGAGTACGACCCCCCCGTTGTTACTCGTAGCAACGTAGGGTAGACCACCTGCTCGCAGCAGCATGTGAGCGCTGTGTCCCTCTTTCAACGCTCGTCTCACATTATCTCTCCTTTCTAGCCGGTTTCTCTCTCCGTCGTACCCTAGACTAACTCACAAGAAAATATGGTCCCAAATTCGTTTTCTATGGTTTCTTTTGCTTTATTCTTGACTGCCCGTCCTTTTCGCTGCCACTGTTTGATTTCCGAGCGAAACAATGCACCAATTAGATCGGGACTCGTGGTTTTGATAGCAAATACCGGGACAATTTAGCGGTAGGTGACAATATGAGCACGACTCCAGTTATTACAGCCCTGTGTCCCACTTTGCTGCGGCGTGAAGTTGTGATGGACCCTGAAAAAAGCGAGTACGGACGCCCGGCATTTCAAGACTCGGAGAGGAGACTAATTCTTATTCGTCAGACTATGTGAAGCAAACCACCAACTAGTAGAAAGTTTGATAACAGCACAGAACACAGATATGCTGCCCCCACAAAATCGACAAGATTCTGGGCAGCACTGCCCAATAATTGAGTTATGAGAATCGGAGAGAGAAGAAAAGGCAATAATGTTGTTACTGTCAGCAGAAGGCAATAGCTGCTAAGCGAGGACGTTACCTCTCTATACCATGGCTCTTTTCGCAACATTATTCCCACGAAAAAAGAGACGACGATTTTGAAACTTACCTACCAGAATTTTCAGAACTCTTCCGCTACAGTTCCTTTCAATCTCGTCCATCCAATCCGGCAACCTGTCGAAAGTGCGCTGATGAGTCAGATCGTAAACAAAGACGACGGCTTGTGCATTGCGATAGTATAAGTGGACAACTGAGCGAAAACGCTCCTGACCAGATGGATCCCAGATTTGTAACTGAAAAGACTCTAGCTTAGCGAAAAATGAATGGTTCCACTTCGAAAAATTCTTAAAGAAAATGCAGTCCATCGTGGCTAAGGCTTAGCACAATACATGAGATCATTATCAAAGATAGCTGTGAAATCTCAACAAATGAAAAGGTAGTGTGCTGAGTGTTGAAAAAGACGAAAACTGATGAAACCTTTAAGAAAAAGAAAGACTCGCCGCAATAACGAAAAATCGAAACATCGAACAATTTCGAACCACTCAATGACATCAATCGACACAAACAAAATATTCACCTTAACTTTGTCTTTATCCACGTTCACAGTTTTGACCCTGAAGTCGACTCCAACAGTTGCAAGAGTATTTTGGTGAAAGATACCCTGTGATAAGAGAGTTTCAAAAAAGGAAAACTTGACTGCAAAATAGTTCACCTGTGTGTAACGCTGCACGAGACTAGTCTTCCCGACACCGGTACCTCCAACAAGGATTATTTTGAATAAGTACTCGTACTCCTCCATTACTTTGAATCCTAAAAATTTGTTTCTACATTTACACATAGACCAAAGTGACTGCGGAATCTGGATGCATAAATTTGATCCAAAAAAGTGATTGCGTTTTCAGTGAACACACTTTGCACGAGACCCGTTTGTTTAGTCTGGCACACTCGCTATTCATAGGAGCACATGAAGGTCGCTAAAACGAGAAGAAAAAATTCTCTGACAAACCAAACCCGGAACCCTTGGCTTTTAAACACCTATTTCTTCAATCAAACAGACGCTATATCAGCAAACCTCCACTGTGGAGACACAAGCCAAACATGACTTCGCTTGTATGGGCGATAACAAGAAGCTATATGTAAACATCAGTCATTCTTATCAATCAAAATGCGAGAAAAGTGGTTCTTGAGGAATTCCTCACTTTATTTCAAGTCAGACTCGCACATCACGATTTTTGTTGCCTATAGCGGATTGCGAGTATTCACTGTTCGTGTCAGATTTGAAGCCTAATATGCTCGTATCTGTTGCTACGGCACTAAAAGCTCAAAACTGGCAAAGAGAGTGAATAGGAAACTCGGAGGAGGATGTGAGATTCATGTTGTCGGGTGTACTTCTATCCAACATTACTGTTCTTGAACCTAAAGCGCATACTTTAAAACAACGCTTTCTTCGAAAGAATGAAGAGGGCTGCAAATGTGCTGCTGACCGTAATCATGCCTGCATAATCACGTTTATACGCTCTGCATTCACGGGAAAATTTACGTCTAAGTGACGACAGCGATGTGGAAAGGAATACAAGGTGATGATAAAGTGTAGGTTTCAATCTGTTTGCGTAGTTGGCGAAAACTAGGGTATGTTCTGAATTATTCTGTCTTATGATAAAAGGACTTATGAAAGCCAAAGGTTCAAGTCCAAATTATGTAGTAATTATTGCTATATTGTTTAGTATGGAGTCAAAAAAGGGCAGTGGGGGGATTTTTCTTGAAGATTCCTTAGGAACTACTAGGAGGATATTTCAACACTATGCATTTCATAACATGGTTGTGTACTGATCAGGTGACACTCAATTGCCAGAATGACGTTACGAGTGAGGTATACCCTACTGCATAATCGAATAAAAAAAGCAAACAGACACATGCGCGAGATTCCAACAAACTTCCAAAACAAGACTTGTTTGTTTTACTATAACTACATTTAAAAAAATATTGAGATCACTCTTCTCAACAGAATGGATTTATGACTATAGAGCATGCAGCGTTCTGGAAGTATAAAATAGGGGAGGGCATTCAAACAACAGGCAAGGAGACAGACAAGACGGCTTGATAAGAGAGCACATTTCTCGTTGCGAGAACTTTTTTATTCACTTGCAATACAACCCAAATTTAGCCTAGTCTCTGCAAGATGTTCATAAGCAGACAAGAAAAAAAGATCACAAGAGATGACTAGAGCTGTTTGATTATTCGTGTGGCCTCGACGATTACTGAGGTGGCGAACTATGGCACTGGACACAGCGTTTACGATCTTATGCACAAAACATGCAGTAACCCAATAATCAAAGCGTTATTTCCACCAAAACTTGCAGCAGTGGAGTGGAGCATCTGCTCAAGCTCTGAGTCAGTTTCCTCAGGGAAGAGAGAACGAGTCTCATTCAAATTTCACTGTACCTGTATCCTTCACAATATCAGCTGTCACTAGTGGATCACTAGAAACTGTTGTCGGCACAACGTCGTAAATGATAGAACTGAGAGGGCGCTCGATCGCAGGCTTGAAAACCCTTCCGTGGAATCTCCGATCTATGTTCAAGCCTCCGGAAGAGGTTGAAATTTGGGTCAATTCAACAAATCTTTCATCTAGCACCTCAAATGGTGAAAGAGAAACCCCTCAAAGCCTTGATACTTCTGTTTGTGTGCAATTAACTAACGACTCGACAATTTGCAATATTCGGCAGTCCACAGCCCAGGGAAAGACGTCTTAAGATTTCGTCTTCAAGTACCCGATAAGATTTATTTGCTTCGAAAATGACTCAAAAAGCAAATCAATTGGTGATTCACAACCAAGAGCATTAATATTTACTTTTCGATAATGGTAATAAAATGACGATGTGTGATGTTTCCCGCCAGGCAGGCAGTTTCAAAACATCACTGGTGATTTCACCTCTAATTATCCAAGAGAACGCTTACATACTGCATGCATTGACCTTCCCTTTCGCTGGTTAAAATGTATTTTATCATTTACTAGAATGGCTGTAACAGAACTCCCAAGTCAGTAGTAAGCACCACTTAGATGAGGGTTTGTTTCGACCATTGTGGGTTGGATTCCGCTCAATGCATGCGCTTCATCCCTTAAATGACTAATGACCACAAAATTGGTTGGTTTTCAGGACGACGCGGAGCCAGATAAGTTCATAGTGATCAACCTAGTCCACACTGAAATTAGTCAGTCCATTCACAGGTTGCCTTCCGACGCCGAAACTTCAATTTTTCTGGATTCTTTCCCCAAACACGATATGGAATCGCCATGTTCCCTCTGGTTTCT